CGGCTCTTCTTCTCGAGCTGCCTCACATAGCCCTCGAAGAACTTTTCCAGTGCTCTCCACCTCGCGCTGCTGCGTTTCTTCCGCGCCGCCTTGAGCTTCGCCTTCAGGGTCGTCTCTAAGTCGCTGTTCTTTGAGGCCCCGCGCAGCTGCTGTTGGGCCACTCTTATCTCCCTAGACGCTTCGGAAATCTCGTGCTGCGCTTCGCTCGTGTACCATCCTCCCTTCCCTCGTGCGCTCCTCGCCAGCGGCGCGATCTCCGCAGCGGCCGACATCACCACAGCGGTGAGCTCGGCGGCGGTCTCTCCCGTTGGCCTGCTGAGGGCCGTGGGTGGAGGGCGGTTGAGAGCCTTGTCTTGGAAGGCGGCCCGTAGGTGCACATCCTTCCTCAACCGTTCGAGGTCGATACGGATCCGGCTGCTTCCGCTGTTTCCCCGCGTTCGTGACCCCGGTTGGGTCGTCTAACGAGTAGAAGTGGAGGATAGGGGCCAGAGGGGCAGACGACAGATTTCAATGATGGGAGAAGTACAGTACAGTACAGTCAGCACAGTACCGGCATTGCACGTGTGCGATGCGGCAGTTGCAGTTCTTCACTTGCGCGGGCGGTGTGCGAGTGTTGCACGAGCGCTGCGGGTGGAAATGGCAATTAAAGCTGTGCTTATCCCAGGCAGTCAACAGGTTGCCGCCCTGGGGTTTCCCCTCATCAAGAGTGTTGCTGCTAAATTTCTGTAGACAGTAATAGTTACATCGGAGAGCTCTTGCTGTTTGTGTTGTGCGGTCGTGGCCATAACCGTCTTGGCCGCAGCAACCCTTGTCCACCCTTTCATACGGGTACGGCGACTTGTGTGCTGGCACGGCCATGACGTGTCCGTTTGACTCGACATGTGTTGCAGATGGCCATCATGCTGGAGCTAGACCATCCCAACATCATCAAGCTGCTTGACTTCTTTGAGAAAAAGGACCACTTCTACATGGTCGTGGAGAAGGTTCGAGGTGAGACAAAAAGAGGGTCATGGCTCATGCCTGCGATGTATGTATTTCATCTGATGTACGAGGGATGAGCAAGAAGAACAGGCATTGGATCCTGCGCTTTGGCCGTTATTGTGGGTGCTGTCGTGATGTTCGTAATGTTCTTCATGTATTGCAATTTGTTGCCAAAGAACTGACACTTGTGGGTAGTGGTGAGCTTCGGCACGAGGACAGCCAACAAATCGGAACTCGAAGACAGCCAATGTACTTCGCAGTGTTGGGAAGGTAGGTACCGTTCCCAACTATTTGATACTGTAGCTAAGAGAAAGTTCAGGGTGTGCGTGCTCCTCTCTGTCAGCAAACCTGAAGCAGTGCGCCTGGATCGTTTATTCCAGGGCGATTCCTTTGATGTTGTTGGTCGCGTGGTAGTATTGCAGCCTTGCGGTCAATCGAAGGGCTGGTAGGTCGCTTTGCCATGGTAAATCGCAACTTGTACGTTTTTCCCTCCGATTCTTCTATGCAGCGGTCGCATTCAGGGCAGCTTTCGACAGGTCAGGTATTGTCTGGCATGCATGCGGGAACTGGATTGTGCACATTTCCACCGTTCCATCATCCACCACTTATATAGCTGTAGAACTCCCAAGCTCCCTCCAATTTGGGAGTTCTCTGTGCTGCTGCTTATGCTTTGCTTCTCTTGATTCGACGCTGTGTATCGTTGTCTGGGACGTGTGTGTGCCGCGCTAAACATCCTGTCCATATTCCTCATCTCGACGCTCGTCAACTCCTCACGCAGGGGGGGAGTTGTTCGACCGCATCGTGGAGAAGGTGGTGTACAACGAGAAGGAGGCCAGGGATCTCGTCAGCACGCTTCTGCAGGCTGTCAAGTACTGCCACGACAGAGGCATTGTTCACCGGGACTTGAAGGTAACTTGTCTTCCATTCCAGCGGTACACGTGATGCTCCAGCCTTGCCGTTCTGTTGGGTATGTTTTTTCGTGCTCCTTTTAGACCGCGCGCCTCGCGGCTCTCAGACTCACCTACTCCCACTCCCGAAACTGTCCGTGTGTCAACGGGTCAACGTGTCAACCGCGTGTACAGAAAGGCGTCCGTTCACGCGTGCTGTGTGTTGTCCGCCCATGTGTGTTTGAAGGGGGCTGCTTCCTCCGACTCTGCCATGTTACTGTGCTACATTTGCTCCATCCACTGGCGTTAGCAGTTGTGACCCCTATCCTATATCTCCTCTTGGGCGCTCTGGAAGGCCAAGAGACAAGTTTCTGCGGTCGCAACGAAGGCACCGCCATATATTAGGGATGCCCATAGAACACCACTCGACAAAATACCGCGAGGTTTCATTGTCAATTGCGTCAGGTTTCGGGTACGAAGTCTCCGCTGCCTGTTGCCTGTTGGATCAATTATGGCCCATTTCTTGTGACCCCACTCATGTTCGTCTTGACCCGCACTCGGTCTTCAGCCGGAGAACCTCTTGCTCGTGAGCGAGGAGGACGACGCTCTTGTCAAGGTGGCCGATTTCGGGTTCGCGCAAAAGTTCATGCCGGAGAGCGGCCTGACGACGCAGTGCGGAACCCCCGGTTACGTCGCTCCCGAGATTCTCATGCGCAAGTGAGTCGTTTCACCGACAAAGTTTATTTGGGTGTAAATTTAACAACTTTCAGGGGCGAGGGTTAGATCTGAACAAGTCCCGAATTGTCGAATCATGGACATATCGAACGCGTTTTGGTCTGCTACGGCTGTATATTGTTGTTCTGGTGCCCCAACGATTGCCATGGCGTAGGTTTAGCAACGCGTTGCTCATCCTCATTTTTTTTTTTTTCCATCATTAGATTCTGTCGTCTGCCCCTCTGGCCCTTATCCTCCACTTCTACTAGCTAGACGGCCCAACCGGGGTCACATGGGAGGGGGGGGCTGGACCCCCTCCTGCGGTTCCTGCCTGGGGTATTTTTATCGCGAGAAGGGTACAGCAATCCCTTCCCTCGCGACTTACGAAGTCGATTATGGTTTTCTAACAACGAGCTTTGCAGCGCGTCGCTTTCATCCTAGACCAGGATTTATTTATTGATAGAAAAACTCACTCTGCCGGGACTCGAACCCCATGACCTGGCCCTTAGCAGACTGCGAGGTTACCACTAGACCACCGGGGCGACCGGTTGTCAACTGTTGTTGTTGTTGTTTCTCACATCAGCTTTTTGTCCACAAAAAATGGGGAGCCCGTGGTCTCAAAACCCGGCACATACGACGCCGCGGGGAAACAAAACAAAAATAGGGTACAAACCACTTGGAAAAAGAAAACAAAATGATAGAAAGAAAAGAACAGGTATCGCACCGACCGATTGAGAAAAGAGCCCTCGGAAACCGATCAAAATAAGAGAAAAACAAAAATAAAGGAGGACGCTTCCCACACCCGCCCAAAGAAAAAATCAAAGGGTAACGT